AGCGGGGACTTTGACTGAGGCGGTACATCTGTCAAAGAATAACGCAGGTGTCCTAAGGCCAGCTCAGCGAGGACAGAAACCTCGCGTAGAGCAAAAGGGCAAAAGCTGGCTTGATCTCGATGCTCAGTACGCATAGAGACAGCGAAAGCACGGCCTATCGATCCTTTTGGCTTGAAGAGTTTTCAGCAAGAGGTGTCAGAAAAGTTACCACAGGGATAACTGGTTTGTGGCGACCAATCGTTCATAGCGACGTCGCTTTTTGATCCTTCGATGTCGGCTCTTCCTATCATTGCGAAACAGAATTCGCCAAGCGTCGAATTGTCCACCCGCCAACAGGGAACATGAGCTGGGTTTAGACCGTCGTGAGACAGGTTAGTTTTACCCTACTGATTGTGTCGTTGCGATAAGTTGTACTTATTACTCTCATTATTAGCAATCTAACTCATATTATTAACCATGTGATGCTCCTGTTATCAATAGAACGATAATTATTGTGCTTGCTACTCTTATTATTATCAATAGAACTTGTATTATTATCAATATTATGATGCTATTATCGATAGATCGATAATTATTACACTTATTACTCTTATTATTATCAATCTAACATATGCTATTATCCATATTATGCTCCTATTATCGAGAGAACGATAATTATTGTACTTATTACTCTTATTACTATCAAAGTAACTGATATTATTAACCATATGATGCTCCTGTCATCGATAGAGCGATAATTATTGTACTTATTACTCTTATTATTATCAATATAACTTATATTATTACCTATACTATGCTGCTATTATCGATAGAACGATAATTATTGTACATATTACTCCTATTCTTATCAATCTAACTTATATTATTGGCCATATTATGCTGCTATTGTGGTAGAACTATAGTTATTGTACTTGTTACTCTCATTATTAGCAATCTAACTCATATTATTAACCATATGATGCTCCTGTTATCGATAAAACGATAATGATTTTACTTAATATTCTTCTTATTATCAGACTAACTTATGTCATTAGCCATATTATGCTCCTGTTATCGATAGAACGATAATTATTGTACTTATTACTCTCATTACTAGGAATCTAACTCATATTATTAGGCATAACATGCTCCCGTTATAGATAGAACAATATTTATTGTACTTATTATTCTTAATATTATCAGTCTAACATATGTTATTAGCCATATTATTTAATACTCTTATTATTATACATATAACTCAAATTATTAACAATATTATGGTCCTATTATCGATAAAACGATGCTGGTTATACTTATTACTCTTATTGTTATCAATGTAACTTGTATTATTACCAATATTATGCTGCTATTATCGAGTGAACGATAATTATTGTACTTATTACTCTTATTATTGTCAATGTGACTTGTATTATTACCAATATTATGATGCTATTATCGATGGAACGATACATATTGTACTTAATGCTCTTATTATTACACATATAACTCAAATTATTAACCATATTATGCTACTATTATCGATAAAACGATACTAATTATACTTATTACTCTTATTATTATCAATATAACTTGTATTATTATATTATTATGCTGCTATTATCGATAGATCGATAATTATTATACTTATTAGTCCTATTATTATCAATCTAACATATGTTATTAGCCATATTACGCTCCTATTATCGATAGAACGATAACTATTGTTCTCAATACTCTTAATATTATCAATCAAACTTGTATTATTTCCAATATTATGCTGCTATTATCGATAACACGATAAGTATTGCACTTATGACTCTTATTATTATCAATATAACTTATATTATTAACCGAATGCTGCTCCTGTTATCAATAGAACGATAATTATTTTGCTTATTACTCCTATTATTATCAATATAACTTGTATTACTACCAATATTATGCTGCTATTATCGATAGAACGATAATTATTGTACATATTACACCTATTATTATCAATCTAACTTATATTACTGGTCATATTATGCTGCTATTATCGATAGAACTATAATTATTGTACTTATTACTCTCATTATTAGGAATCTAACTCATATTATTAACCATATGCTGCTCCTGTTATCAATAGAACGATAATTATTGTGCTTGTTACTCTCATTATTATCAATAGAACTTGTATTATTACCAATGTTATGCTGCTATTATCGATAGATCGGTAATTATTATACTTATTACTCCTATTATTATCAATCTAACATATGTTATTAGCCATATTATGCTCCTATTATCGATATAACGATAACCATTGTTCTCAATACTCTTAATATTATCAATCAAACTTGTATTCTTTCCAATATTATGCTGCTATTATCGATAACACGATAAGTATTGCCATTATTACTCTTATTATTATCAATATAACTTATATTATTACCAATATTATGCTGCTATTATCGGTGGAACGATAATTATTGTACTTATTACTCTTATTACTATCATTGTACGATAATTATTGTGCTTGTTACTCTCATTATTATCAATAGAACTTGTATTATTACCAATGTTATGCTGCTATGAATGATAGATCGATAATTATTATACTTATTACTCCTATTATTATCAATCTAACATATGTTATTAGCCATATTATGCCCCTATTATCGATAGAACTATAACTATTGTACTCATTACTCTAAATATTATCAATCACACTTGTATTATTTCCAATGTTATGCTCCTATTATCGATAGCACGATTAGTATCGTACTTATTACTCTTATTATTATCAATACAACTCATATTATTAACCATATGCTGCTCCTGCTATCAATAGAACGATAATTATTTTGCTTATTACTGTTATTATTATACATGTAACTCAAATTATTAATCATAGTATGCTGCTATTATCGATAGATCGATAATTATTATACTTATTACTCCTATTATTATCAGTCTAACATATGTTATTAGCCATATTATGCCTCTATTATCGATAGAATGCTAATTATTGTACTCGTTCCTCTTAATGTTATCAATCAAACTTGTATTATTTCCAATATTATGCTGCTATTATCGATAGCACGATAGGTATTGTACTTATTACTCTTATTATTATCAATGTAACTCATGTTATTAACCATATGATGCTCCTGTTATCGATAGAACAATAATTATTGTACTTATTACTCTTATTATTATCAATGTAACTTGTATTATTACCAGTATTATGCTGCTATTGTAAATGGAACGATAATTATAGTACTTATTTCTCCTATTATTATCAATATAACTTGCATTATTACCAATATTATGCTGCGATTATCGGTAGCACGATAATTATTACACTTACTACTCCTATTATTATCAATATAACTTGTATAATTACCAATATTATGCTGCTATTATCGATGGAAGGTGTAACGAGGCATATTTTCATGGGGTTGATTGCCTCGTTTTTTTTTTGGGTTATGCCTCGTTACGATGA